AAACATTATTTTTCTCTTTTAGGTATCTGACACTGAATTTTCGGGCAGTTCTCTTCGCTTGTATTCCATAGTCCGACCGGCTAAGAGAAGTTGTTTTGGAATTGGTTCACTTCGCTAAACTTCCACTATATCATCATCATCATCAACAACCTCCTCCGTCTTCTTCTTCTTCTTCTTCTTCTTCTTCTTCTTCTAAATCAGTCAGTTTTTCGTGTGTATAGACAAGTCTAAATTCATTCTGTGGTAATTTGTGATCACTTCACACAAATGCAATCGAGAAAACTGCCCCGTTTCCCGTTTGCAAAATCAACGACATTAACTTTAATTAAATTAAATTAGAATTATCACGTCATATATATAGGAATATTTTTCATAGTCCTGAAGCGTTATGCCCATTTTAAAACTAATTTGCTCTTTTAGACGTATTTTTTTCAATTTCTGATAAAATTTCAAGAAGTTTAATAATGAGTGGAAATGTTGCAATAACTTTGCTTCCTCTTCTCTAATTAGTATGCCCAGCGCTTGCCCAGTCATATGACCATAACGGCCAATCAACAGAGCTCTCTTTTTTTCTTCTTTTTACAGACGGGAGGAGTTTTCGTAAACATCAGATAGGAAAGATGAGCCTGCCTTGTGACTAGAGACAGTTTTATGCAATATCCTATAGTTTCTTTTTCAGGGTCGGAATATATACAACATATATTTATTCTGAAACGGTCACGATCAAAAATCTCATTAAGAATCGTAGGGAATCACGTGTACTGCAGCCGTGTCTGCATTGGGTGTGTTTTTGGCATGATAGTCTGACGGAGCCCATCTCAGGCTGGGTACGGATTTCCGAGCATCTAATTGGGCGATATTTGAATTGACCTTCCTTTCATGAGTGGCGCAAGTTAACTAAGCTTATCTTCATACGATTCCCGTAACCCATGACGAGAGTACAGCCGTCACGTGTACTTCAGCCGTAACAGCATGGATGTATCTAGGGCAAGATTGCCTGACAGAGTCCGTCTCTGTTAATGCTGGTTTTGAATTCCGATTTGTCCGACTGGTTGAATCCCCCATTCTCACCCCACCCGACACATAATCTGTTCAACCTATAGCTGAGGAAGAACAGATAGATTCATCATTTTTCCAAGTTTCATTTGACTGGCTTTCATACAAAGGTACCCAATATGCTTTATTATTTCTCTCATAGTTAGTGAATTAAATAAAAGGGTACTAATATTTTTCCCTAAAAGACATTAGTGCGAAATGAACTCGAACAGTACCGGCCGAATTTTGAACTCGACTCACCAATAACGTTTTCCGTTTCGATAATTGTTACGCCAATAACATTTAAATTTTTTAATGTCATATCGCTTCAAGAGGCATGCAGTCACGACTCTCCACACATTCCTTTTCTTTATTATCTTTCTAACTGCCATGCATTATTGGGAAATATAGAGGAGTGGTTTACTGTTGGCTCCTCTACGGTTTATCTTTCAGAGTTATCTTTCTCTTAGACTGGTTTTCAGTTTGAAGAGTAGACTGGGCTAGAGAGCTTAATCTACTCTCCTAATCCATAACTAAAAAGGACTGCCTTGGGGTATGACGATAAACTAAATCCGTGTCCTGGGTATGACGATAAACTAAATCCGCGTCCTGGGTATGACGATAAACTACATCCGCGTCCTACGTCCGACAGCAAGGCTACTGATCAGGAGGTTTTGAGGAGTGGTGAACTACCTCTTAATTGCTGGTATTCCCACGTCCACCTTTTAAGCTCCCAAAATAGTTAACAAATAGTAACCATCAAACTGGGGTCAAAACACTATGAAAGTGTAAAAATAATACCAGAAATACGTTTTTGCAAAAAATTACTACCAGAAATATATTTTTGAACAAGAATATTACCAACAATAAAAAATCATGTCGGCATTAAATAACCCATTGACCTTGATATGCCATAAAACAAAGCAAATCAAACTAAAAAGGATGGATTCATGCCTTTTACAAGGGCATTAATGAAATCAAACAGAATCGGCAGAATTTTGAACTCTACTCACCAATATTATTTTCTGTATCGATAACTACCAATAGCACTTCCACTGTATACTAAACGTTTGAGGTCTCCCCACTGGATCTAATAATTAATAAGTTTCATAATTTTTTTAAAATTATTTAACTCCTACTAAACTAAGATGCTGAAACTATTTAATCCATTAATGCATGATGTTCATTTTTTTTATATAGAGGAAGTTATCTAAAAGGTAAAATCCGCCAGCCCTAAGATGGCCATTACCAAACAAACTAAAAAAATTTAAATAAAATTTATGCATTTACTTTATTATCATTATTATTATTATCATTATTATTATTATATTTTTTATTATTATTATTATTATTATTATTATTGAATACATGATAAAAGCCTTAAAGAAGAGAAAGTCCCTCCAGCCCAGAGCGAGGTAGTTTAATTATGAAAATGGCACAATACCTTCAGTTTTAGGCGATTCAG